TGTTTGAGAGGCACAAATTCCCTTTCAGATGCTAATAAACGAGGTACGAGGTCTGGTGTCCGGTGTAGTGTATGGGTGAGGATTATGGATGCAGTAAAACGTATGAAGCGAATTTTGTTCTCACCAATAACTCGTGTATTCGCTTATTCTAGTTTCTACTGAATCGATAAAACCTCCACCGCACACCGCATCACAAACAGTGCCTCGTCTATTTACACCTTTATTGCTTGATGGTGGACACACTATTTTTTCCATGAAGATTAACTTCGCTCTGATCTGCTGGCTGCCCATCATTTCATTTCAGTTCATTTCCGCTGACTGCCATATGCTTTGACATGGTTCCTGTCATAAAGGCTAATTAGACGCGGAAGGCTAATTAGACAAACTCTTAATTACTGTGAGGATTAAAACTTAGTATTGACAAGGTTGCTACAGATGGGTTCTGAATTGGAATAAGACAGCTGAATCCTTGTATTTGAAGACAATATAAATATTTGTAATGTAAGAATGAAATCAAAACCATTGATACCAGTTGATTTATTCACACTGATAATACTAGTACTTAATAAACTCTTTTTTACCTGAAATTTGTAGTTTTCTATAGACACAGATGCCTCTGTTGGTATTCACACAACCTCGTCCCTAGACTGAAATATAAATCAGAAAATCAGCATTAAACATGACCTAGTTTTTCTGACTCTATCCTAGCCGATAACTGTTAAAATCTATCAGAGGCTGGAATATAGGCAGATGTTGGGGACTAACTTGCTTTAAGTCCAATTGGTTGTCACCCACACCTCGTATCAAGCATCACTTATTCATTTCACGCGAACTGCACATCAGTTACCGTTGGTCGCCTAGTACCAATCTAATACGAATCATCACCCCGGGAATTTCTTCTTTTATTTTAACGTATGCTCTCTGAGACCCCTCTATAAATCAATTTGAGGCCTGTTAATGGAAGATTTAAAGACTTTTCCGTCTGTAGAATGTCATTCCACGCAGTTTTATATTGCTGATTGCTTAGTTTGATTATAATTGTACATGTTGGTACATTATATTCACATGGATTCCAGAGTGACGTAGCAATAGTGTGAAGTAGAATTCCCCACAAACATATATTATATATGGTATAATTAACTGACCAAAGGACAAGGTCGAAGTTTTCGGGTGAGATGATAAGTGTCTTGTGAACTATAACTTCCACTAATGTAGTGGTAAAATTGTTTCATACTTAATAGCGTTCCCAGTGTGCAATGCACCTAATTAAGTGCAGAAAGGTATGATGTAGAATTTCATGTGTGATTAAAAATTGAGAATCCTGTTATTGTATATATTGTTACAAAGCCAGCAGTTGTCGTAGATGGATCAGAATCTGAATCTGATGAAGTTGAATACCAGATTTTACAAATAAAAAGGATATAGGTTGATTTAGATAGTGTCCATGTAAGCTTACATTCAAGACTCGGACTAGTCTCATGATAAACTGAAGGTCATATTAATATCTTGTAAATTGATAAAAGATATCACCACTATACTCATCAAGGCCAAATATAATCAATATATACCAAGATTTTTAGCTGATAGGTGTAGGCTGGTTTGAAGATGTTCGACAAAATGATACTGGGAATTTTGCTGATCGCCATACAGGCTGTTTTAACAACGGCAGTGACTGGTGATAACTATGTAATAGATGCCAGTGTCGGATTTGGAAGAACGTTCAATGGAATCGGTGCCATTAGTGGTGGAGGGGTGAGTATTATAATTCTTTCATAGTCACACTGCTCAGTTGGTTCCGATGACTTTGGTTCTTATGGCTGTGATGCTCTTGATTCTCACGGTGTGATGCCAAAGGCTCTCATTAGTGCTATGTCAAAGGCCTAATTAATGTGATGCCAAAGGCTATCATTAGTCTGATGCCAAAGACAATTGATTGCTATTGCTGTAAATATTGTTATATGAACTGCTCAAATGATTGTGACTTTCTTGTGTTTCAGGCAACATCGAAGTTATTAGTGAATTACCCAAAACAACAACAGTCAGAAATATTAGATTATCTTTTCAAAGTAAGTAAGTTTATAAAGTATCCAGATGTTAACGACTGTGTTGTGAACTAAGACCACAATGGCTCTCGTGAGTCTTAAACGCTCATGATAATGAAAAGGACTATTCGTCAATATAGCAGGTCATATCATGTGTTAGTCGGTACATTTCAGTAGAAAAGGGTTTCTTGTTATATGTACATACCAGGCCTACGTACACCAAGGATTCGATACATGAACAACACTCTCTGAAGTCATCATTGACTTTTGAGCACCACTCTGATACTAAATAAGTTATTGTTTTGGTGAGACAGGAGGTGAGCACCTGTTACAATATTAACGTGTTTCTCTGATATTTTCAGCCCAACTTTGGAGCATCTCTGCACATATTTAAAGTGGAAATCGGAGGCGATATCCAGAGTACAGGTATGTCTTACCACTGTTTATAGTAGGGTTTCAAAATACAGTGCAATACTACAGAATGATGTCTGACATGCCATACTGTAAAAGCTATAAAAAGTGTCTGTAGAAAACCTAACCGTAGCTAATTCATATTAGAATTATTATCAATATTTTCAGAGGGAACCGAAGCTTCTCACAGCCACTATGGCTGGGATTTAGATTACACCAGAGGTTATGAATGGTGGATGCTACAAGAAGCTAAAAAGGTAACTTTATCTGTAGGTGTTGATGTTGGCCACTGAAAGATAAATAGGCTATGTCGACACGTGTCCTGTCAAATCGGAATTATTCAACGTTGAATGATGTTGATTTGGCTCACATGGCAATCTAAAAGATATTACAAAGTTAGTAGGCCCTACCTGACCAAAACACTTAGCACTGATCTCTGCCCGATTGTTCGTAACCTATCCATTTACTGCTGTTAGCTGCAACATTAAGAGAATAGGGATGAGCCGTCGCGTGAGGAACTCGTGACCATCGCGTCCATGAGAAAATGGCGCCAATATTACAGACCCAATTATCTTTATTACAGAGGAATCCTGATATAAAACTGTATGGATTACCATGGGGATTCCCGGGTTGGCTAAGGGACACAACTGATCAGCCATGGAAAGACATTCAGACCACAGCGGATTATGTTGTGAGCTGGATTCAGGGAGCTCGTTCTAAGTATAATTTAACCATCGACTATATCGGGGTATGTAAAGGCGTCGTTTTATAACATCCAAAGGGTACAAGCAATAGGCAGGTATTTTACCTGGAGATATTAGAAACTACCAAAACTATATTTGATCATTTGGCAAACCATGCCTATTTGATTTCATGGATAAATTGGGGGCTTCATAGGATCAAGATGTTTTTTTTTAAAAATGGGAAGCTTGAGAATCTCATCAACTGTAACTCATGCAGATTGGACTTAAATCCAAAATGAAATCAATATGATTTTATCCACAGATCTGGAATGAAAGTCCGTACAATGTCACCTATATTAAAGTAAGTATTTAATACAATTATACTTGCTAAAGTACACCAAAGTGCTGAAGTGGAAAAATTGTTTGGCGGTTGAGGTTAGCCACGATTGGCTGTACAAACGCAATGTGCCCCCGTATGGACGGTCGTGTTCCTTATGTAACGTTTCTGATAATAATAATGATAGATGTAAATAATCGTACCGTTGCTTAAGGAACATGATGGATGATATAGGATAAATACAAAAAAGCAGAAAGTTAACTTCCCGTATCCTTGATAGTTGTCAGCAAGAATGTGAAGATTTTTTCAACAGATATCGAGGAATTAGTTAGTTTGCAACGAGTTATAAAATGTATTTTGTACATTGATAAACTAAAATGAAATGATATCGATATGTTTTGCTTTATCTACTAGACTCTTCGTAAAACTCTCAACAAAGCTGGATTTAGCTCCACGTTGATCATTGCTTCTGATCAAAATGGTTGGAAAATAGCAGAAGATATGGCAAAGGACCAAGAATTATCGGATGCTATTTATGCTCTGGGGTAAGCAGATATATACATATTCAGGTTTCTGAAACAATGCAGTTCGTGGCGAAATGGAAGTAAATTCCTCACTTTTGATACGACGACCAAACTTAAGAGGAGTGTCTGATACTAGTTATAACTGTTGTAGTAGACTCGTACAACACGTCTGCTAGTCATTTTCTGGCAGTTGTCTTGTCCTCTGCATATCAATATGATTCCAGGCAACGACAATAATCTGGGTTCAAAATGTCAATGGTTAACATGTATGTTATATGCGCATTGTATTTTTATTGAATACCAATGGCTGTTGTAGGTCGCATTATCCTAAAAGTAAAACTACATCCGCGGCCCTCAATACTGGTAAACCGTTATGGTCTTCAGAGGAGAGTGTCCAGAGAGGGACACCTGTATTGGCAAAGGTAAACATATGTTATTTTCATCTTTATTCTTTACATTCACCATTCTTTCAGATCCCATTATCCAGACAAAAAGAGCACGCCATTGGCGCAACAAACTGGCAAACCTTTATGGGCTTCAGAAGACAGAGTTGACCAATTAGCCAGGTATTCAATATTACACAATAAAATGTTGTCCTGTTTTACCCACCTGGGTTTAAGGGCCCTGGGATGTCGAATGGTTGGAATATTGGAATGAACGCTATATCCAGATAGTATAAGCTTAAGCGTAACCCACTGAGCGTGGACTGAGGACTGTAGCAACCATCAGTGGTGGTAGGGAGGGGGCAAAGCCGGCCAGCTCCTTTTCTGCCCCTAAAGAAAAACCACTGGCTACCATGTCTTAGAAATTTATGTCAAAATGCTACATCTGACCACCCCAAGCCTATACAATATGAAAGTATTTCATAAGCTGTCATAATATTATCTCGGCTCTTACTTCTTATGCCTTGTCATTTGACCACCTGTAATTATATGGCTCGTGTTCCAATTACAGTATCGCTTTAATCAAAACTACACTTCGATTTGTTTTTTCAGACGCTGAATGAAAATTACGTTACTGGTTATATGACATCGTAAGTTATTCTTTTTTATTACAAAAATAATGTATCCAGATTATCAAATAAACATTTCCGTGATCTCAAAAATGAGGCATTTATCGATTTAGATTGCAAGCTACTCAATCTGGCAATGGATCAACGCATTGCTTCTTTAATATCAGTGCCAATGAGATTGTACGGAGATGTACTTAATGTGTGACAAACACTAGTTCAAGCAGATGCCTTACAGGGGTAGAAGGACGATATTTGGACAAAGCAAGGTTTTTTCCTTTCTGAAACCAGACCTGCTGTAGAAACTAACCTAAGAGTTGGCGGAAGTTCACATTTCTTAGCTAGATCCCCAACCAAGATATTGTCTACAATTTTCTTCTTTTTTGTCCTTCTTTTAAGGACTGTCTTATGGAATGTTGTGGTATCGTATTATTTTGGTTTACCTTGGGTAAACTCTGGTTTAATGACAGCAAGGGAGCCATGGTCTGGGTATTATGATGTTAGAGATTCAATTTGGTTTACAGGTTTCATTTTGTCCTTATTATCCTTTTGAATAAACGCAGGCCTTTACGTGTCTGCTTATAAAATTCAGTACAATAATTATACTGAAAATGAAAGGAATTGAAGAGAGTTTTCTTTATAATCCCCTGTCCTGTTCCAAGATGTTAGACAGACATGTTATAGGCTACGGAATTATAAAAAATCAAACCATGAATACTTTTAGTATATATACCTCATTGTTACTACAATCAACAGCAATAGTAACATCACTCTATTATTCAGCTCATACAACCCAGTTCACCAAGATTGGTTGGAAATATTTAAAACATGATAGTGGTGCTGGAATGTTATCTTTTGGTGGAAGTTACGTATCTTTAGTTAGTCCAGATCAACAGGATTTTACTTTAATCATTGAAACAATAGTACGTATAAGACTTTAATGTTCGAGAATATAGAATTTGGCGTAACGTCTAAGACAGATATCGGCGATCCTCGAATACCAGAGGGTATCAAAATTATGTTTGTTTTTTTCTAATCCATAGTACGTTACCTACAGCAATACTACCAAAGTGGGTTAATTCTTTAAAGTAATACAAATCGTTTTGCTTTTAGGACAGCGGTTTAGGTCAGTATGGTTTCAGAAATGTTACGTTTTTGCTGAAAGGAATGTTGGTGAGTTTACTTTTGTTACAGTTCCATTTTTCAATATCAGACTCTCAAATCTGCATCATAACAGAGCAAAACAGGGTCGACAAATCCAAATATACTCTCGACCTGTGTCGGTATCGAACCCTATCTGGACCCTCGGGGAAGCGAACAAGCTGTACAGAAGTTTTGCTGGATAATAAGGGTTTCAGTACGTGATTTTGACTGTATAATACGAGTTTGGCTCTATAATACGAGTTTGGCCTTATAATACAGGTTTGGCCTTATAGTACAGGCTTCGCTGTATTAAACAAGTTTAGCTGTATAATTTAAGTTTCAAATTGACTGTTTGTTTGAAGATACGTTTATTCGTATGATTAAAGTTTGGCACTAATACAAGTTTAAACTGTATATATTATTCAGGGAGAGAAGATCAAGAGTCTGTACGTAAGGTATACTAAATCAGCCTATGATGTTTTTGCTACAGAATATTTCAAACAGTTAGAAAATATACCTGTAAGTATCTCACTGTTCAACTGTATTCCTGTAAATATCTTACTGTTCAACTGTCGATACTTCCTTGTATAATATCAAGAAGGCTTGATTTAAGAAAGATGTAAAGTCGTTTTCTAATAACACTTTGTGTTATAACTTTTTAAGACACGGTGGACAGTTTTCCAGAGCACCAGTTTTTCTTTAGGCCACCAATGTTCAAATTTCAATTGTCATCTTTGACTTTGTTGTCCATCGAGTTTTATATATAACACATGTGTTACCTTGCTGTGAACCGTAAGATGTCATCTATCATCTGTCCAAAAGAACATTCAATGGGACACGCCCAAAAAATACCTATATTGTGCTCATGTTGAGGTTAATATGGTAATATTTAAGGTTGTTGATGGTATGGTTCAGCTTCAACTAAAGGATTCTGAGGTGTGGACTCTCAGTACTATAAGTACCAGTTTTAAAGGATATCATCCCAATGTTCCTGAACCACAACCGTTTCCTACAACTTACTTTGAAGATTTTGAAGGTGGGTGATGCAGGGTGACACTTTCAGAGCTAGTAGTCCTCTTCAATCTTTTTTTTTCCATTCAATATTTACAAAATTGTTGAGTTTTTTTTTTAAACAGTTTTTAACATTTCATTAACTATATATTATGTTGTTTTTTCATAGGTTATGATAATTTATATGATAGGATACGATGTGGTTTTCTAAATGATTACGATATTCGTTCCTGTTATAAATTACAGAAGTTGTTTAGTTTTTAACAGGTTACAATATTTTTTTCATACACGTTTCTATTCCTGTGCTTATTGCTTTCTTACAGGTTACAATATTGGTGAAGAAGCTTATTATTTTTCACAACAAATCGGTTCGTTTGAAGTAGCTTCTGAGAATAATAATAAATTTATGAGGCAGATTGTTATTGATATGCCAGTACATTGGTTCTGGTGCCATATTGATAACTATAACACTTCATTAAACGTATTTGGAGATTATAATTGGTAAGTTGCGGTAATCGGATATAATCTTGTACGGTTTAACAAGGGCTGGAGAAAATTTGCAATGAGACTCACGCGGCAAGTAATGAGGGTACGAGTTGAATGAATACAGAAGATGAAACTTTAAAAAAATGTAACCAAAATTTTGATGAAACATTAAGAACCGGTAAACTTGTTGTGTAACGGCTATAACCCTAATTCGGACCTTGTAAACTTATGAATTTTGATGTAAGTGAGCTGGTGTACTAGCTGTTTTAGTCTTGATTTTGCTGTCCTTTCGAAATACCTGAAAGTAATAACGCTGTTTTTTTTCTAAAAAGGTTGTTTTATAGCTAGTTTATGGATGCTTCCCGATAAACTTCTTTTGATATGTTTTTGTCTTCAAAATGTTATTCAAAATTTCAGGAGTAATTTTACAGCTAGTGTATCTGTATCGGTGACTGGTGAAAATTCAACAGATTGGGTGTTCCTTGCGTCTAGGGTATCAGCTGGTGGTTGTCGTTCTCTCCTTGGTACTGGTCTGTTTTTCTACTTCAATCCAAAACAACAACAATATATGCTGACAACTGACTTGAGTAAGTTAGACTGTTCTTAGTCAATCTTTGAAATCATATATTACATGTGCACAGCGCTCCGAAAATTTGCGTTGTGTCCATTAATCGTGTTAAAACAATAACCTAACACCATCCTTTTAAATGGTGTTACTGTCCTTATGTCATTCTATATGGCGATTCTATAAGGCATTAGGTGAAGGGCCGGGTGGGGCCACAAACCAGTGGTTTGAAAACGAGAGGAGGGTAAACACCGGGTCAGACAAATTTCGCCCATCTGAATTATTCACTAACCTACTTAATTCAAAACCCGATGAGAATATCAATGTGTTTTTTTTTATTTCTACAGTGAGAAATAACATAATAGCATCTGGCGGAGTAAAAAATATCAAATCTGATTGGAATGATTTAGAATTAACAACAAACGTGAGTATTCATTATTGAGTCTAATTTTACTGGAGGGAAAAGTACTCGGAATTTGAAGCCGCTGGCATTTGCATACAAATCCTTATAAAGGAAATATGACAAAGACCTGTTATATATACAACTACTAATATTTTTCTGTTTACAGGGCAATACGGTTCTTGGTTATATAAACTCTAATATTGTATTTAACGTAAAGGTACCAATAGAGATTCTGAATGGCTGGGCAGCGGTCGGGACTTTCCCTTATGGTTATGCTGGATTCGACAACTTTCTAGTAAAAAAGTTATAAAAATATATACTATTTTTTTCGTATTTTGCTTTATTCTTTTCTTTCACAATTTGATTTTCGAAATACATCTTCATAATTACAATAGCAATATATCCAAATTAATCATTAACGCAAATCATCCGTCGGAGACCATTAGACCATTTTTGGTTTCTGGGGACCAACAACGACGCGAAACGTGTAATGAGAGGAGTGCGCGGCACTTTTTTTCGGACACGGTTTGATTTCTAGCTATTGAGAGATCTATGTGGATCTACCAAGAATACTTAGATTATTTAGTTAATCATCATATAGTTTCAACAGTGGACAAAAAGTCTTTCAAACTATCAATGGACAAGAAATGGGATTCATTGGTAGATGTTTCGATTATTTCAAATATTGGAGGATTCTCTTGGATTCGTTTACCAACCACTATAATATATGGATAACCCAGTCGTTTAGCATCAAATAGTCGTTTTCCCAGTGATATTTGTTGTCGATCATCAATCACTACTTCGTGTTTCAAATTTGGCATAACATTTAAGGCATCGCTCAACGTTAGAGATGTTGCTAAATACTGCTCTGCTGCTGCTTTGATGCCTTTATGGGGCAGAATACAAATTTGATACGGAGCTATTAGTCTTGGCCATCTGATTTTATTCTCGGATGATAAAACTTCAACAGATCCTTGTAATAACCTGGAAACACCGATGCCGTAGCATCCCATATGAGTTAGGTCAATTCCTCGATCACTTTTCATACAAGTGGACTTGAACACAGACGAATACTTGGTTCCTAATAAAAATGTGTGTCCGATTTCTATACCGGGTGATGTTCTAAGCTGGCAATCTGCATCACATGTCGGACACACTGTACTCTGGTCTTTCACTAGTTCAGAATTGGATCGAAAGGAACATTTCTCACAAAATAACAGTTTGTCTTCACCCACGGAAGACATAAGATGAAATTCGTGAGAAATTGAACCTCCAATGTTTCCTGTAGCTCCTTCAACTTTTGCAAACGGAAGCTCCAGTCGACTGAATAATCTGGAATATGATTCACAAACAATATCATATGTTTCCCGTGCCTCTGATTCACTTGCATCAAAAGAATACATGTCTTTCATCTCAAATTCTCTGCCTCGCAACAACAAATGTTTCGGCTTCATTTCGTCGCGGAATTTCCTTGTAATTTGGTAAAATTTTATGGGTAGCCGTTTCTCTGATATTGGAGAATACATAGCCATTAAATTAGTCACTAATTCTTCGTGTGTTGGTCCTAAACAATATTGCACATTATGTCTATCCTTTAAAGTGAACAATTCATTAAGTGCATCGTCCCAACGTTCAGACTTTTTCCATAATTTTGCAGGGGCTAAGGTCGGCAGTGATATTTTCTGTCCGCCGATGGCTTGCATTTCTTCATCAACAACCCGGACTAATTTATCGAGTGCCCTTTGTCCAAAAGGTAACATAACATAACAACCAGAATGACAGCTCTCCACAATGTCATTGTACTGCATAAGAATCTGACTTTGACAAGTTTGTGACGACCCTTCCGGTTCTACCCTTCCAAAATTTTGAAAAAGTTTGGATACAAATCGTCTGCTATTGCTCATGTCACGGGCATGAAGAGTTGGTTTTGAAACTTCGTTTACTATGGAGGTAGCTTTGCACCTGATAAAGACGTGTCGTTTATGACAGTCTCTGATAAATACCCTTGCTGCTTTACTTTGCATGATAAGGCTTTTTCCCCTGAAACCTAAAAAAAAATACACAAAAAATGTTTCCAATGTTGACATGAAAACAACTCGACGTGACAGGAAGTAGGACTTGACGCGAGTTTTTTTGAAACGTAACCAGTAATTCTATGACGATAACGTAGCCATTTAATTACCGGACCACATTCGTTAAAGATTGTGTCCCTTTGACTAAAAAGAAAATAGCCTCCAAAGTTGGAGAGAAGTTAGATCTCCCAGCAGTTAAATTGTTGGATCTGATAACGAAGTGTATCGTCCTCAGTTATAATTTTTGAGTTTATGATAACGCAGATAGATCATAGATAACATAATCAGTTATTAGGCTAGGATAGGCTACCAATTCATTGGTTTTCATTTCATAATAATATACCAAATTTCTGCTTGTCGCATAGTCAAACACAGGCTCGTAGAAATCGAAGCGGGAAAAGGTTATCCAAGTAAATGCTGTATAATAGATAAATATCTTCTGGATTGTAGGCCTACGTGTGTACGTGGGCAAACGGTAATAAACAAATAAATAGCTGTATCATAGCCATCAATAAAGTATCTTATTTTTGTTGGACAGATCAAAATATTATGCCAATAACATCATTGAAGGCTGCACTGAGATATCAAAGGCATTAAATACAGTGTTTACAATCCATCAGGGGTAAATAATACAGTGTATTTCTATACTTAAATTTTATTTTTTCAATGTTTTAAAAACAAATGAAATAGCAAGTAAAGTAATAAATTTGAAGTGATAATAATAGAATAATATATAACTTTAATCAACAAATAATGAATAAATAATAATGATATCAATAATGAAATAACCAGAATTTAAAGGGATTGTGAGGAGTTATATTGTTAGTTATGTGTGGGAGTGGTAATAATAACAGCTTCATTGTGTTTCTTCTAGGCCAACATTTCACAGCAGCTTTGCACAGATTGTGGTCAGAGACTTTTCAGATTTGTGCAATATGGCATGACTTCAACTTCAAATCATGGATCATTCTTTTATGATTCCAGTTGGTAATTAACTGAGTTCATTTCTAGTTACTTTAACTACGTGGCATATGTTATAGGCAAGGAAATGGAACAAAATCTAATTGTAAATACCTCCAGGAAAACTATTCACAATTCCCTCAGGACTTGTTAATATTTAATTTGAGGTTTGAAACAAAAATAAAAAAAAATCATCAACAGAGCTTTGCAATATTTTTGTGACCTTGTGACCAGCATTCAGAATAAAATTAACTAACAAAGGTTTACCACTTTGCTCTGTTATCCTAAGCTTTAAGCTCAAGCCTTCCCTAACCAGTGCTCTATCAGCTTACTACCAACACCCCCCCCCCCCCCACCCCCTACAGTGCTCTGTTAGCTTAAGCTGCCCCTTTCCACATTGCCAGAGCTTTTTTAGCCTGAACATCACCTAGACCCATTGCCAGTGCTCTGTTAGCCTATGCCTTCCCTCCCTCACCTCTCTTAGCCAAGCCTTCTCTACCAAGGCCTTCCCTTTAAGCTGTAGGAGACTGTAAACAGGTTGGTATTGTAAGAGAATAATAAAGTTAACTATAATAATACCATGCTATTGTATGAAGTAATATTATTAATAAACAACTGTAAATAGAATGCTAGGCAACAGTTCTTATGTAATACCAATAACAATAGGCAGCTATAACTAGATAGTCACTATAGATTACTTCAGTTAAAGGCTGTTGTCTGTGAAAATATCTTGAAATGATTGTCTTCCCTGGGTCTCAACTACTGGAAATCTCACAAATAATTTGCTTGAGAATGACACTATCAGCTGCAGTGGGATGACTAGATATTATCTAAAAACCAGCGCTCTGAAGAAACAGCAGGTGTTTAGTAGTCTTAAATAAATTTTGGACTTTGATCCAAAAAAGATTTAGTATTCTTCACCGATACCAATCCAATATTACCATTTTAAGCTTTTGACTACAAATTTTCATATTCATGAATGCAGAAATTATCTGGGCCCCCTTACAAGAATTTTATGACAAGAATTTGTTTTAAGTGTGATATTTTACATTGAGAAAATACTTAATACATACTTAATTTATGACAAAGTTTTTTGTAGGATGTTTTGAAGAGCATGTCTATATCGCTGTCACAAAATAAATGTCAAGGATCTGATAAGAACAGCCGGTTTGGGTCTAGATAAGTTACCTCTAAAACATTAAAAAATTTTTTAGCTTTTATTTGCAGTTTTGTGATAAACAATTGTTAAAAACTGTTGAACAAAAACCAAAAATTCTAAAAACTTTTTACAGCGCTAATTTCTTTCTTCCTTGAGATACTCATTAACAACTACACAATTAACTGAACATACTGCTAAGTTGTTTGACACTAGGATGTGCCTAGAGTTGGGTGATATGGGATTTTTCAGTGTATCGCAAGATAGACAGATCTTGATCATGGCAGGTTATATTGCAAAGACATAGTAATATACATAAACTTTGTCATATAGTATCGTTTGTTTATATCTCTACAATCAAGACAATTCTCGTCCGAAGAATGGCAAAATTGAGAGTAAAAGCTGTATAGCAATGGACTCCTCCAATATTGTCATATTGCCCAACTCTAGATGTGTCCAGTGAAATGTGGCCTGCCATTATAAATGCCCTATCCAGATCTAGTTCTGAATGTACAATGAATGATCTAGGTCCTATACTACCTAGTAACTACAGTGAATACATGAAGAAGGCAGTAAGTTAATCCTCAGATATTCCTTTTATAATAAATTAACTTGTATCACCTAGTATAATAAATTAACAAATTCTACTAACAAAGTCCACTAACAATTTACATCACATTAAAGCACACTTCCCCTTTAATTTCTCCTTTCTTTTTTGTGACTTTGATTTCTTCGTCTCCAACTGAAGAGACATAGTCCTGCGTTTCTCTAATTGCAGAAGTTCTTGGAATAACTCCTTAACATTATGATTAGTTTTGGCGGAAGTCTCTAAAAAAGCACAATTCCATTTCTTGGCAAGTTCTGCTCCCTCGTGCGTTGTAATTTCACGGAGAGTTTCATCACATTTATTGCCCACTAACATTACAGGAATTCCCTCAATGTCTCCTTTAATTTCCAAAATTTCTCCAAATATGGGTTTCAACTCTTCTAAAGATTGCCTACTTGTGATTGAATACACTAAAATAAACGCATGTCCTTTAGATATAGAAAGTCTCTGCATTGCCGGAAATTGATGACTACCCGTTGTATCTGTAATTTGTAATGTACACACTTGTTTATTGCAGCTGATGACCTGTCTATAAGTGTCTTCTATAGTAGGAATATAACTCTCCCGAAATGTTCCCCGCACAAATCGTAACACTAGTGAACTTTTACCCACGCCACCAGCCCCAAACACCACCACTCTATAATCATTGCTCTGTTCTGGCATTACTCGCAACCGAACTGATCTGTCTTTAGAGATCTGAAAAGATAAAAATACAATTTTTCAGTAGAGGATATGAGTGAATGAATGATTGTAACAATGGTTGAATAAGACAATGAATGAATGATATCCAAAAAGGTATAAACAAAACATATCAGCTGAATGATCTTAGGAATATTGGATTATTACCCAATCGTGAGAAATAAACCAAAGATACTTTTCAAGCCAACGCCTGCTAACACAACTTACCCTGCCTAAATATACACCACAATTTTATATTAAATTTTTAAACTCAAATTGCGCAATGAAATAAACTTTATATAAAACGAAAGTAGTAATTATGATAACTGTAATTTTTCAATCATATCATTTAAATTGTGCAATTGAAAATCCATGAAATTATTTCGAAACAAACATTAGCCAACCTTCAGTTTAAATTCTTCCAAATCAAGACAGAAACTTGATAGTCCAACAATATGATTATAATATATATGATATGAAATATAATCTGTAGATCAAGACAATTCAGTCAATCAAAAATCTTGTCCAATGAATTGAAAGATTGGGAGTAAAAGTTGTATAGTAGTGGACTCCTCTAAAGAAAAGTACCTGTCCCTCTATGTATATATAAAAACACATCTTTTTTAAATGTACAATTTCATTTCAAGATTTGTCTGTATATAACTCAATAGAAGGCATGAATAATTTCCAATCTACAGTGGCAATAGATCATCAAATGTCAGATAGGTTGTGTAGTGTTTTGCAGATATTTCCAAGATAACACAAAACCCATGAATATTTTACAATATATTTGATCAGTCAGATAGAAATGTTGGAAATTCATTGAAATTTTTTCAGAGATTTTATGTGACATGTGAATTGACAATAACAAATATTTTTACTGTTAAAATAGTTCCCAAAACAATAATTGTACAGAGATAAAGAAATAGTTCAGGTTTTGTTTTAATATTTCTACTTGTGAGTTTTTACACCTGTATTCTGTGACAAACAGTGTCATAATGTAGTTAATATCTAGCTGCTGTTACAGGTCAATCCTGGCACACTGACAAAATCTGTTGTTTCATTTTACATTTGTTTTCTCCTGGTCTTCAATCAAAATATTGAACATGACTTCAACCTTACTTTATAACCCAACTTAGTATTTAAATGATAAGTTCCACTAACCAGACTAATATTTGCTTGTGGAAACAAAAGACTCAGTGAATGATACTGTGGAGTGCCTCAAAAAAATCGTTTTTGTTTACTGCGTATAATTTCAAACGTGGCAGATATTTTTCATGCTTGTTAAAAGTTTAGATATTAAACTACTATTCTATACATTATAATAGTTATATTCAGTTAAAATATATTTTCTCATTTTTTGTCTATTGCAGTGTGCAATGATAGATTATCAATAGAATAAAACAAAATGGAAGAAGCGAATATAAAATTTACAGGTTCCGAAATGTTGCCGACTTTGTTCGCTTCTTCTATTTTCCACACTGTACACTTCACCATACACTGAGCCTCTCTCTTACCTTAAATGGTTGGTACAAAGTATGTTATTAATAGGCCACTCCTCAATACAAATATTGGGTTATTCATTCAACATATTGCATATATAAATGAATATAAGCCATTTTTACACCTATATATGACTATATTATATGCAAACATTTAAAGGAATACTACCTCTTGAAATGACCAAGAAATTTAATTTTAATAATGACCAATATGTTTATAGTCACCAGTGAGCTTACCTGGTGCCATGACTATACATCAGAATCCCTTTTTAGTCTGATCAATGCAAAAAACTAAGTAATTATCCATAAAAATACATTTTTTATTATTAAAAAAACTCTTCATAATTTCAAGTGTTTTTCATAATTACTTAGTTTTATGGATTCATCAACATACAGGGATTCAGTTTAGTTCAGACGTCATAAGGGTCCATGGATAAATATATATTCTTATTAGCTAATATTGAGACTTTAAATTGTATGTTCATTGTAAGGCGTAGTACATTATATAGAATGACAAAAAGTGTAATATATCTTTATTAGGTTATTCTTGGTATAAGTAATAATGAGTAAACATGCCATATAAGTCAAGTAAACAAGTTTATTTATGGAATTTCATTCATTAATTTTAAAATCTAATTCAATTAATCGTGATAAACTTGCGGGTTTCCTACACGAACCTCCGCTTGCTCAAGAATATAACTCATTTAGCCAAAAGGAGCTCTTGACATAAAAAACACTGAAGGTAAATCATATAACTTTATGATTAGTTATCCTAAAGAAATACTATAGCGAGTCTGGAAAATCATGATTAAATCAAATTATTTCTTCGTTTTATAATGATTTTTTACTCTCAGATGAATCTAATATAAGATGGAACATTAAATATGAAAGCAAGAACTAAAAGAAATATATTTCTTTCAAAAACCATATTTAAGTTAAATAAGGAAAAAGTCACATTCAATGACACAATCTAAGAAATATCACTAAGACTTACTTTCAATTGTAGATCACTATTCATCAACATTTGAGCAAAAATAAGACCAATATGATATCCAAAATTTAAAGGACTATATTGCTTATTTTTTAATGAATATTCCATATTATAATCATAAATATCTAAGACTTACATTTAAGTGTGGATCACTATTCATCAACATTTGAACAAAAATCCTCAACAGATCATTACCATGCTACTAAGAAACACAATCCAAAACCAAAACTAAGAAATTTCTTCACTAGACTGTTTTTATAGTCAATCAGTATTGGAAATTGGGTGAAGATAAAATGATTAATTAGTTCTACCTGACATTTGTGACATAAAGAGTCTAACATTAATAATTAACACAGGAATAAAACCTGACAGTAGAAACCATAGACTTGATCCTGTTATACTTGACTTGTATTCCCCTGTACTAATACTAATATATACTGTACTTTAATCAATATACAGGCAGTATAGAGCTACAATCATAAGTCATTTAGTATCTATATCTATCTATATGTCTATATATAACTGAGATTATTAACACTATAATTAATTAACTTCTGTCTAATTACTACACCAGATATAGCCTGTTACCTTACAATAGGCCAAGGTAAATCAAAGTAATTATTATTACCATATTGTCAGTTATTTCCATGGGTTGAAAAGATCCTCAAGAACACTGTATGATGATAATGGATTAGGTATGTATACAGAGAAAGCAGAATTTTACTTATATTAGGGAAATATATATATATGATATGAAGATATGAAGGGTTCTTGAAGATCCCCACAATATATACCTTATTTTCATTTAAATATAGGCTGTGGTTATTCAACGGTACAAAAATGGGCATTAAAAAACATACCTACCTAACCCTAACAAAGTCACTTAATATCATTCTTGACAATCAAAATGGCTTCACGCTTTAAATAAAAACCCCAAATTAGTGCCCCTATTGTGTCTTATCTTATTAGCAGTCATAGAGAACACACAAATTGGCATTGAAGTGACGGTTACAAATAGCCAGTGCGTTAAGTATATTATCAGAAAGTTTACATGTTCTGACTCTAAAAAATGCAGAAACCCATCTTTAAATGTAGCATTCCCAGTTATAAGACAAAATAGACCCACTGTAAAAAGACAAACCCAATAATTAATGGCTAATTGAACTCTTCGTCAGGGAGATGAGGAAACTAGTTTGAGAGTGTAGGCGTAGGTTTTCACGCCTGACAAGCTATTTCTAAAAGTATCCTGAAGGCAGGATGAAGCAGCCATATAAATTCTCTGCAAACAACCAATATATTTTAATCAGTTGTCAAATTCTTCTAGTGACCTGAATTTATCGATGACATAGATGTCATTGTTTCAGATAAAAATAGACATTTGTTGACACTTAATATACATACAGAATCCTTACCATGTCTTCCAAAAACCAGGCCATAAAGATGCTCTAGATATATCTTTATTTTTGATCTAGATACTAGATATAAGCATGTTTGTTTTCAGATAATGTTCAGATCTTTCGAAATTTATCAGAATTTAAAGGAAACTAGTTAAGAGATGCCAAATTCCAAACAAAAATGTCTTAAAGTTTGGCTGAAATTACTTTCTGTGAAAATAAACACCAAAATAATAATATAAGTCTATATTTGTATCTATACTATTACAATATTTAATAAAAGCATTGGCTTTAACTGTGTTTCAAACTTCAGCATCCATAAAATTGTATTAATTATTATGTTAACATTCAGGAAAAAACTCAACCAAATATCAAATATATTTGTCAAATAATTCACTGAAATTACTAAGAGTATAAGTAATGTTATAATTTGATTAGATATTGATAGACTAGTACTAAACCTAGCCTGGTTGTAATTTGATTATATATTGATAGACAGGTATTAAACCTAGCCTACTTCCTTTTTTCTGATCTATTGCCTCAACTACACCACACATTGCGCAATATAAAGATATTAAAATTTCACCATTCAAATATATTCTATGTCAATTTCCATATCCCTTCTGACCATGACCTGATGACAAAACCAAGCAGGAAATGTCAGGTGATCAATCTCAAACTGACAGAAAGCAAATTACTCTGATTCCACTTTCTGTCGAAACTTCATCCAATCTTCTCTCTTCATTTGAATAAAAAAAAACTTTCAGGGAAATGCAATACATAAAATTAACCATGTTGACTCTTCAAAAGAAATGTTTGGGAATAAATTTGATTCAGACTAAAACTTTCAAGTTTCTTCAATTCTTTTCATAATTGAGAATAAAAACTGTTATTTTTTTTATTTTTCCTGGTAATTCTACCAATCAAAATTAATTTTTTTTCTCCATTTTAACTTAGCAGAAACAATGTACACTTTTAGCAGAAATGTTTTAAATTTAATTAAATGAACATAAATATTGTGTAATATTACTCTATGCTTTTAAATTTTAAATAGTACTCTATAATTTCATAAATAGGTTTGCTCTCTCACATATAGCAAGAAGCGCAAATGGTAACTCT